CTTTCTGGAAATTTTGGTTCAACCTGAACTTCTGATTCAACCATTTACTTTTAATTTGTATCCACTCTGCTCTTCAGTGCTTCTATGGAAGCTTTCCCCCACCAATTAAATTCATTTCCCGTATTGCTAGTTGGATTGGTAGGAGTCCCTGCCCCCAGTAACCACCAGTTCCTTTTTAAAGGATAATATACTTTCTCATCCACTGCAGATTTGTCCAGTGCAATTTGTCTTAATTTCTTGTGGATCCAATACAAATGATATCTTTGACAACTTCAATCTTTTTTCCACTTGTTAAGACGTTGTCTATTTGTGAGCATTTTTCTTTATATTGAGGTGTAATCCATACTGAACACTTTAGTCTTTGAACTTCATCAATAAATGCTTCCAGTCTTGTTTGTTTTTTGCCAGCAAGGCTATGTCATCTACATAACATAAGTTCTTGATGAGTCTTCCTACAATCCTTATACCACATTTGTCTTCATATAATCTCAGTACCAGCAATGAAGAGGTAGCAGCATTCATCCTCTAGAATCAAAGATTCCTGCGCCAGCCAACCAGCCAGGGACCTACACAAGAGCTGTCTGAGCAGACCTGGAGACCAGCAGGAGACGAACTGACTTGGGACTGCTGCCCCCCAGAGCCACAGTCAGGACCAGAAGCCTCCGCCCAAGCTTGCTGGAGGGCCGAGGGAAGTCATAGTAACTGACAGGACTGGGAATTCTGTGACACTGACCTAAACCGTGAAATTGGAGGTCAGAGGGCCTGCACGCAGCTCGGGAAGCTGTCTCCATTAAGGGATTATGTCCTGCTGCTAACCTACATTATAGTTTATTAACCACCCTAATAAACTTTATGATCACGAAAACAGATTATGTTGAATAAGCCCAGGGTACCAGTTGGAGGGGAAGACTTTTCTTTGTTAGCTCTGGAGGACGATCCTTGTCTTCAAACCGTCTGCCTTTGGGCAATCTTCATGTAGCCTGGCATGTGTCTTCACTCAGACCACTTTGCTTGCTTAATCTCTTACATCTTAAAGGAGATTGACTCTGTACTAATATCTTATTGACATTACAAAGACAACCTATCACAGATGGGATTAAAGCCACAAATAAGGTTTTCTAACATATTAATGGGGTGGGCACAAGTTAGTCTATAACACATTCTTCCATTGGTTGCCTTCGGTCCACTTCTACTCTTTGTGATTTCATGAATATAATACCAGGTGTGCCAAGAAATCTGGAGAACAACTATTTGGCCAACTGACTGGAAGATATCCATATTTATTCCCATTTCAAAGAAAGGTGACCCAACAGAATGTGGAAATTATTGAACAATATCACTAATACCACACACAAGCAAAACTCTGCTGAAGATTATCCAGAAATGATTGGAACAGTACATTGACAGAGAACTACCCAAAATGCAAACTGGGTTTAGAAGAGGCCATGGCACTAGAGACAATATCGCCAATGTCAGATGGATCTTGGCAGAAAACAGAGTACCAGAGGAATGTCTGTGTTTCATTGACTATGTAAAAGGCATTTAACTGTGTGGATCACAACAAATTGTGGTTAACCTTGAGGAGAATGGGAATCCCAGAATACTTGATAGTACTTATGAGAAACTTATGCTTGTACCAGGAAGGAGTCTTCAAAACAGAGCAAGGAAACACTGCGTGATTCAAAGTCAGGAAGGGAATGTGTCAGCAATGTGTCCTGTCTCCATACCATTTCAATCTGTATGCAGAACAGATCATTCACGAGGCTGAGCTTTATAAGGAGGAATGTGACATCAGGATTGGAGGAAAACTCATCAACAATCTGCATTATGCAGATGACACAACTTTGCTTGCTGAAACTGAGGAGGACCTGAAGTGCTTGCTGTACAATTTCAAGGACTGTAGTCTTCAGTATGGATTGAAGCTCAACATCAAGAAAACAAATATTCTCACCACTGGGCCAATTGCAGCACCATGATAGATGGAGAAGAGATTGAGGTTGTTAACAATTACAGCTTGCTCGAATCCACAATTAACACTTTTGGAACCAGCAGTCCGGAAATCAAAAGGTGAATTCCATTAGGTAAATCTACTCTCAGGGACCTTTCCAGAGTACTGAGAAGCAATGGTGTCAGTCTAGAAACTAAGGTGCCCCTGATCTAGTCCATGGTCTTCATAATTACTTGTTATGCTTCAGAGAGCTGGATACTGACTAAGGATGATAGAAGAAGAATTGTTGCCTTTAAATTGTGGTGCTGGAGAAAAATCTTGAACATACCATGGGCTGCCAAGAAAACAAATAGGTCTGTCTTATACAGGGTGAAACCAAGTTTCTCCTTGGAGGCTAGGATTTAGAAGCTCTGTCTCACTTACTTTGGGCATGTGGTCAGGAGGACTTATCGTTGGAGAAGGACATCATGCTCAGAAGGGTGGAGGGACAGCGTAGGAGAGAAAGACCCCAAATGAAATGGATTGATACAGTACCTAGGGTAATGGGGGTAGGTGTGTTGTAGTCAGTGAGACTGGCTCAGGACAGGGTAAGTTTCAGAGGTATTGAACATAGGGTCGCTATGAGTTGCAGGTGACTTGACGGTACATAACAACAATAGTAGACTTGGCCTCAATAGGGTTTCCTTTCTAGTTTTAAAAAATATTTTTATATGATTTTGGTTAAAATTTACAGAGCAAAAGTTTTCCATTCAAAAATTCATACACATTTTGATTCCTGGTGTTGGTTGTAATTCTCCTAACAGCATATTCCCACTGCTTTCCTGTGTTTCCCATGTCCATTCATCCTTCTTTCCTCTCCTCTCTTCCTACCCTCTGAACTTTACCCTTAGCAGATACTTCTCTTTTGCTCTTGAGTGGCTGATTGTTTTGAGAAGTATCTTCCTGTCTAGTGTTATTACAATTTTATGGGCTTCTCTGTTGTTTGACTGACAAGTGAATCACAGAGTTGATTTCAGTACTAGGGTTGAATAGTGGCTGAGGGGTTTTCTACAGTCTGTCAGACAAGTAAGTCTGGTCTTTTTATGACTTTTGAGTTTTGCTTCACATTTTGTTTTCTTCTAAATCTACCCAGAATTCTCCTTTTCTTTTCTCCTTCCTTCCTTCCTTCCTTCCTTCCTCCCTCCCTCCCTCCCTCCCTCCCTTCCTTTTCTTTCTTTCCCCTTTTGAGCAGTCAGTAGTGACAGGGGCACTATCTAGGTGTTCTGGTGTCTGGGCCATGGGGACAGCATTGATGTGTTCCTTTAGCCCTTTGAACTAACAGTCTTTGATTTTCTTTACTCATCTTTGCTAATAAGGAGAGACCAGAAATTGCATCCATATGATTGATTTTTCAGAATTACATCACAAAGTCTTTTTTCCATGGTACCTTGAACTTCCACCATCTAATTAACAACTAAACACAATGACCCTTTGTCCAATGAAATGTTTTCCGGCAATTAAAAGAAATATAATGCCACTATGTACTGCAGTGTGGATGAACCTTGAAAATATTATGCTAAATGAAAGAAGCTGGTCCCTAAAAGTTGTACAGTTCCCTTTATGTGAAATGTCCAGAATGTGCAAATTCATGGAAACAAAAAGTAGATTAGTAGTTGCCAGGACTCAAAGGACAGATGGAGGGATGAGAAGAATAAGGAAAGACTACTAGTGAATATAGATTTTGGGGGTTGATGAAGATGTTCTAAACTTAGATTATAGTAATGGTTGTACAATTCTGAATATTCTAGAAACCATTCAACTGTACAGTTTTAAAAGAGAAAAAATTTGTAGTATATAAATTGTATCTCAATAAAACTATTGTAATATATGAATGAAAATAGGTCATTTAGGGGAAATGACTTATTTCCCTAAGGCCCCTATACTAGAAATGGAAAGGACAAGTAATCAGAATGTGTTTGTGATCATGTAAAGGGGATTTATATGAAAAGCTCTTAAGATCCACTTTTCAATTAAATCTATGACAAAAAATTATTTGAACTTATATGCCTGTCCTTAAATATTCTTTTTCCTTAAATCTTTGAAAACAGCATCAGAAGTATATAAAATAAGCTATGTATTTCCAAATGGAGACAAATATGGTAAGTACATTTCAATTACTTTTTCTAAGCAAGCAAAAATTAAATAACTTGAGTGAAGAGAGTGAGGGAAGACTATCACATTTTATAACATTATGTTCCAGATATAAGATTTATTAAATAAAATAGAAATACTAATAAATAAACAGATTTTAAATTTAAACTTTAATGTTAAGTATAGAATGCAAGTGTTGAGGACTTTCGTTTATAGGGTTGCTATGAGTCACCTATGACTTGATGGCACTTAACAACTTAACAACAACAACATAGACAAAGTGTGTCCTGTAAGCCTGTACACTAAAAAAAACCACTTGAAACTTACCACTGTCTAGTCAGAACCAAACTCATAGCTGACCCTCCAGCGGGTTTCTAAGACTGTAAACTGCATGAGAGAAGATTGCCCATATTTCTATCCAGGAACCATTGGTGGATTTGAACCACCAAAGAATCTTGAGTTTTGGTTAAGCAATACAACTCTCTATGGATTAGGGAACCAGACCTCCCTCTGGAAACCTTTCATTCACTCATTGCTGTCCAAGTCAGAACTGACTCATAGTTGACCCTCCAACTATGGTATTTTAGAGGCTGTAAGTCATATGGGAGGAGATTGCCCATCTTTCTTCCATGGAGCAATGAAGTGATTCAAACTGCCTGCCTTTGAGTTTGGCAGCACAACTTCTTATCCACTAGGCTATAGGAGCTCCCTCCAAAAGGTACAATTAATCTTCCTGGTCCTTGACTCTCAATGTTTACAGGATTTTCTGAGTTTATGGGTCTTTTCTCCCATGGTTTTAATTATAGGGAGTAGAAGAGATTCATTGGAGTATAATTGTGATTAGACCGGTACATAACTACTGCATTACTTAGGGAGACGGTGTTCCCATTTATAATCTTCACTGTTTCTTCACTGTGTTAAGATGGTGACTGTACAAGATCATCTTCTGGAATCTTTGAGAGAAATGGAGTAGGGATTCATACCACTCCTGATGGAATTATTTACACCGGAAGCTGGAAAGATGATAAGGTATTATTGCTGTTATTATTAACAGTAGGCAACTAACTCTTATGAGTACATGAGTTAAGAAATTTTGCCATTACTGTAAAATACACATAGTTTTGGAGCAATATCGAGGTCAGTTGGCATACTATAGTGTTCTACATTCCGTGTTGATGAGTAGTGACTGTAATTTCTCTCTGTCTCACACACAGAGACATACTCTCTCTCTCTCTCTCTGCACCATATAATTGGAACTGACTCCTAACTGATCCTTCAGTGGGTTTTCAGAGGCTGTAAGTCACATAAAGAGGAGATTGTCCATCTTTCTCTTGAGGACCAGCTGGTGACTCCAAACCCACCTGCCTTTATATTGGTTGTGCTCCCTTACTGTGTACTGTTGACTCAGAGCTGACCCATAGCTGACCACTCCCACCACATCCCATCAGGTTTTCAGAGGCAGTAAATTTTATGAAGAGGAGACTGCTCATCTATATTCTGCAGAGCAGCTGGTGGAGTCGAACCATACACCTGTGCATTGGCAGCACATTTCCTTACCACTAAGCCACCAGAGCTCCTCCACTTAATATATTAGTAATATTAAACTAATTCAGAGAGTTTGTCATCTTCATCATCACCACCACCATCATCTTTCACATCTCTCACCAAGTAAGGCCAAGCTTGTTACATCATTTTCTTATTGAATTCATGTAACAGATTGAATGGTGTCTTCCAAACATCTGTGTTTGCTTGACTGAGTCATGATTCTCAGTATTTTGGATGTAAAGCAGTAGTTATGTAATGTTCTTCCATGATCTAAAAAGCCAGTCTGTGGTAAGAAGGTTAAGGGCAGGAACCACTATTATTATCTTCATGGACTCTCTAAATGTTCTAATACCTCACACCTGAGTTATACCAGAAAGACAATTATAAAATGTCTGATTTTGTAAATATAGGATTAAACACAATGTTAAATGAAATAATTACGAGTGTGTTGTGGATTGAATGATATCCTTCCAAAATATGTTATAAATCCAGCCCTGTATGCCTGTGGTTACAGTCCCATTTGGGAATGGGTCTTCTTTGCTATGTTAGTGAGGCAGGATTAATATATAAGGTGCATTAACAATCTCTTTTGAAATATGAAAGAGGTTAAACAGGAAAGCAGAAGAGAGATGAGGTAAGATAGATGCTAAAGACAAATAGAAATTTCCGTGAAACCAAAAAAGCAGAAATGGAAAGGTCAGGACCTTCCTCTGGAGCCAATAGCAAGAAGCAGCTTTCCGCTGGAGCTATACTCTGAATTTGGACTTCTGTCTTAAAGGTGTGAGAAAAGAAATTCTGGTTTGTTCAAGCCACACATTTGTGGTATTTTTGTTATACCAGCATTTTATATCTAAGAGGGAACTGTAGTGATTTAGTGGGTAAGGAGTTGCATTGACTACTCAAAGGCAGGCAGTTTGAATCCACCCACTGCTCCCGGGGTGAAAGATGGACAATCTCCCCTCTAATTTAGAGCCTCTAAAAACTCCCTGGAGGGTTGGCTGTGAGTCTGTTCTGACTCTATAGCACACAACAATAGACAGAGTGGATAATAAACTTGTATGTGTTTTTGTAAGATTCTACAGGAAACTGAAGATAAGTTGCCAAAGTAATTTCTTTTGCTAAAAACAGATGAATGGCTTTGGGAAGCTCGAACATTTTTCAGGAGCGGTATATGAAGGAAATTTTAAGGATAATATGTTTCATGGATTTGGGACTTACACATTCCCAACTGGGGCAAAGTACACTGGAAAATTCAATGAAAATAGGTAAGCCTAAAATAAAGTCACTTTAATTTGGAAAGATTCTTTTCAGGAATATTTGCTTAAATATTACGATGAAATTATTTTTTTGAATGGTGGTTTGGGTGAAAGTTAACAGAGCAAATTGGTTTTCTTTTTTAAAAAACATTGCTAAATCATCTTTTGTGAAGTTATTAGTTTCTGAAAATTGTAGACCACCAACTACTCATATGAAAGTTCAAGCTGAAGCTGAAGAAAATAAAATCAAATCCACAGGAACTGAAACTTGACCTTAAGTCTGTCCCATTCAAATTTCAAAACCACCTCTGGAACAGGTTTGAGGCCTTGAACACCAGTGAATAAAGACCAAATGAGTTCTTGGAGGATATCAAGAATATCATTCATGAATAATGCAAAAGATCATTACAAAGGCAGAAGAGAAAGAAAAGACCAAGATGGATATCAGATGAGATTCTGAATGTTGTATTAGAGCACTAAGAAGCCAAAGCTAAAGGAAGAAATCAAGAAATCAAAGAGTTGAGTAGAAAACTTCAAAGGGCAGCTTGAGATGACAAAGCAAGGTATTATAATAAAATGTGCAGAGAGCTGGAGTCAGAAAATCAAAAGGACCGAACTCGCTCAGTATTTCATAAGTTGAAGGAATTGAAAAAAATAAAGATAAAAATAAAGCCACAAGTGGCAATACTTAAGAATGCTTTGGGCAGAATGTTAAATTATTCAAGAAGCATTAAAATAAGATGGAAGGAATATAGAGTCACTGTACCTGAAGGAATTGGTGGACACAGAAGAATTTCATGAAACAACATACCAGCAAGAGCCTGTGGTGATGAAAGAGGAAGTTCATGCTGCTCTGAAAGAATTGGCAAAAACAAGTCTCCAGGAATTGACAGCATACCAGTTGACATATTTCAACAAAAAGACGCTGCCCTGGATGTGCTTACTAAGTTGTGCCAAGAAATCTGGAGGGCAGCCACCTGGTCAACTGACTGAAAGAGATCTTTATTTGTTCCCATTCCAAAGAAAGGTGACCCAACAGAATGCAGAAATTATCGAATAATACCATTAATATCACAAGCAAGCAAGATTCTGCTGAAAATTATTCAAAACGACTAGAGCAATATGTCAACAGAGTACTGCCAGATGTGCAGACTGGGTTTAGAAGAGGCTGTGATACTAGGAATATTATAGCTAATGTTAGATGGATCTTGGCAGAAAGCAGAGAATACCAGAGGAATGTCTATTTGTGCTTCATTGACTATGCAAAGGCTTTTGACTGTTTGCATCACAACAAACTGTGGTTGACTCTGAGAAGAATTGGAATCCCAGAACATTTGATTTTGCTTATATGAAACCTCTACTTGAGCCAAGAGGCAGTCATCAGAACAGAGCAAGAAGACACTGCATGGTTCAAAATCAAGAAGGGTGTCCGCCAGGGATGTATTCTGTCTCCATACCTTTTCAGTCTGTAAGCAGAACAGATCATCCAAGATGCTGGGCTATATGAGGAGGAATGAGGCATCAGGATTGGTGGAAGATTCATCAACAACCTGCTTTATGCAGATGACACATCCTGCTTGCTAAAACTGAGGAGGACCTGATGCACTTGTTGAAGAAGGTCAAGGACTGCAGCCTTCAATATGGATTGAAGCTCAACATCAAGAAAACAAAGATTCTTACCACTGGGCCAATTGGCAGCATCAGTATGGATGATGAAGAGGTTGAGATAGTTAACAGTTTTAGTTTGCTTGGCTCTACAGTCGACACTGTTGGTACCAACAGCCAGGAAGTTAAGAAACTAATTGCATTGGGAGTCAGCTGTTAGAGACCTCTCTAGAGTACTGAGGAGCAGTGACATCAGGCTGGAGACTAAGGTGTGCCTGATCCAGGCCATAGTCTTCACAATTGTATGTTATGCATCAGAGAGTTGGGCAGTAACTAGGGATGATAGAAAGAGACTTGAAGCCTTTGAGCAGTGGTGCTGAAGAAGAGTGTTGACTGTACCATGGGCTGCTAGGGGAACAAACAGGTTTGTCCTGGAGAGGGGAAAACTGGGCTCCTCCTTGGAGGTAAGGTTTCTGAAGCTTTGTTTGACATACTTTGGGCATGTTGCAAGGAAGGACCAGTCCTTGGAGAGGGACTTCATGTTTGGAAAGGTGGAGGGACAGCACAAGAGAGGAAGACCTTTGATGAGATAGATTCAATGATTGGGATTCAATTCAGTGATTGGGATAATGGGAGTAGGTGTGTCAGAGACAGTGAAGTTAGCATAGGATAGAACAGGGTTTAGGGTCGCTATGAGTCGCAATCGACTTGACAGCATATAACACAACAAGAATTGTTCAATTATTTTTTGAGAAGAATTATTCTAATAGAAACTGAGACCATTTAAAAGGAAATAGTATTCTTAGTGTTAACCAATTTAGTTGTTTTATTTCTTTTTGATATTCATTTTCTATAGAACTTTCTGAGTCAGTATCAAAACTCTTCATTAATCTGCTGTCGCTTATATTCTTGTATCCCATTTGCCATTTTCCTAATACTCTTTGTTTAGATGTGGGGTCAGGTGACCAGGGCTCTTTTAGTACCAGCATGGCCACTAATTTACCATATAACATGTTTAACTCTCTTTTGGCCCCATCACCGTCTATGTAAAATAGGACCCATTTTTCCAGCAAAGCTCATAAAACATCATAGTAAGAGAAGGCCTATGACAATGAATTGAAAACAGAAACCTTCCAAGAAAGATTGAAAGCAATAATGACAGATCACTGGGGAGAGAAGCCAAGTTAAACACATATGAATTTACATTTTTTTAAATTCACTCCTAACTTTTTGTAATAAAGATACAGTATATAGTCTAGAAAATATATGACTATTTTGATTTGTAGATTACATGATCTCTGTATTATTGTTGTTAGGTACTATCTAGTTGAAAATGACTCATAGAGGCACTGTGAATCCTTAAGCAAAACCTTGTGCTATTCTGTGCCCACCTCAGAAATTAGTCGTGCTCAAGCCCATTGCAATCATGGTGTCAGTCCATCTCTTACAGGGTCTTTTACTCACTCTCTACTTTTCCCAGGAACTGACCCCTCCTGACACATGCCCCAAGGACATGAGAGAAGGTTTCACCATATGTACTTCTTTTTACTTATTTTTAAATTTTATGTGTGTGTGTGTGTGTGTGTGTGTGTGTGTGTGTGGTGTGTGTGTGTAGCATCAAATCTGATCTGACTGGTACAATAGGAGATTGCCCCTCCCTCTCCAGTAGAGATCTGGTGGATTCAAACTGACCATACTTAACTTCTAAGGAATACTCTGGTTGAAATACCTGCAAGACAGATTTATTTGTTCTTTCTGCAGTCCATAGTATATTCAATACTCTGTCAACACCTCAATTTTACACCATTAATTCCCTGTCGGTCTTCCTTATTCATGGTCTAACTTTCAGATGCATAGGAAGCAATTGAAAATACTATGGATTGAATCAGGCACTCCGTAGTCTGAACTTATGATATTGTTGTGCCCACGAAATGCCCCTCAAAGAAATCCAGAAACAAGTCTGAAATTTCAAGAGCATTTATTGTTTAATTTTTCCACACGTGGAGGCTTTTTCACCTTCCTCAGAAAGGTGGTGAAGGGAAAAAGCTCTGAGGTTTTCTCTCCCACTTGCTTTTATAGCTTTTTCTTGGGCGCCCCTGCTAGGGCAAAGAGATTGGTGGGTCAGGGGGTCAGTCATTTGGTCAGCTTTTGATGGGCTGGTTACTTTGCCCGCCTTTACTCTTTTTGTGTCACGTAGACACTAGTTAATTCCTTACTTTTTCAAGGTAAAACCCGGGGCACTCATGTTTGCCCTAAGCCAAGAATTTTTATGGCCCGCTTCTGCTTCCAGCGCTGATGGGGGTTTATATAAAATGGGGTTTCTGCTGCCCCTTCAATATCTTTGCCCTATAGCACTTTGGAGAGTTCCTTATCATCAAATTTTCCCAGTGCAACACCCCTTACATCTTTTGATTATTTGACCATGATACCATGGTGATACCATGAGTGTTGATTGTAGACCCAAGTAAAATGGACTTGCTAGTAACTTCTTTTCTCCATCTATCTTGATGGTTTTTATTGGTCCAGTGGTGAGGATTTTTGTTTTCTTGATGTTGAGACCTGTAGTCTCTCATCTTCTTCAGTAAATGCTTCAAATCTTCTTCACTTACTTTAAGCAGAGTTGTGTAAACAGCATGATGTAGGTTGTTGATGAGTTTTCCTCCAATACTACTACAGTCTTTGTCATATAGTTCAGCTTTTTAAATTATTTGCTCAGCATACAGATTGAATAGTTATAGAGGAAGGATACAATATTGACACACACCTATCCTATTATAAGCTACAGCGTCCACTTGTTCTCTTCAAAGGAATGCTTCTTGTCCTTTGAACTTAGTTGATATAATTGTAATTCTTGATCTTGGGCACTTAATTTGGTATATCATGACAATATTCCTTTGAAAGAATAATTTTTTTTCAAGAAATGACAGCACTTTGTAAGTGGAAAGACACAGTGTTTCATATATAATATTCTAGAGAATTTAAAATCTTTGTCCTTTGGTAATGAGCAAACTTTTTTTATTGCTAACAGGGTGGAAGGTGAAGGACAGTATACTGATGTCCAAGGACTGGAATGGTGCGGGAACTTCCATTTCACCGCTGCTCCAGGCCTGAAACTAAAGCTGCTCATGTAGATGTTTGGTGTTGCTGTTTTAACATGGTGGTTGAAGCTTTTATTTCTGAGGAAAGCCACAAAATCCAAAAGGACCTTGAAGACTGCTACTGTGCTGCAAAGTCTACAATAAAAACTTTCACTCACTTATGCCTTTTTTCAACTTAATTTTAATATTTTTATAATTAGTTTAAAATAAAGTGTGTGGCTCAACTGAGAACTTATTTGCATAAACACAGCAGCACTCTAAGTTTCTGACAAAATGCCCCAGCTTCATCATCTTTAAAATGTAGATGATCAGGAATGGGAGAAAATATTTAAAAAGAAAATATCTGACAAAAGTCTAATAAAAGTAAGGATGACAGAAGAAGGATTGATGCCTTTGATTTGTGGTGCTGGAGAAGAGTCTTGAACGTACCGTGGACCACCAGGAGAACAAATAGATCTATCTTGGAAAGGGTAAAATCAAGTTTCTCCTTCGAGGCTAGGATTTTGAGGCTCTGTCTCACATACTTTAGGCACATGGCCAGGAGGGACTAGTCCTTGGAGAAGGACATCATGCTTGGAAGGGTGGAGGAACAGCGCAGGAGAGGGAGACCCCTGATAAGATGGATTGACACAATGATGGGGTCAATGGGGGTAGGTGTGTCAGAGTCAGACTAGCTCAGGACAGGGCAGGCTTCAGAGCTGTTGTACATAGGGTCACTATGAGTTGCATGTGACTTGACAGCATATAACAACAACAATAAAAGTGTTATTTTTGTGTGCCCTCCGGTAGATTCTAAGTGACCGCATAGGGTGTACAAACACCCTACAGGGTTTTCTAGGTTGTAATATTTCTATTAATGCAAGTAATCAGTAGTCTTTTCTATTGTGGAACAACTGGTGGATTCAGGCCTCTGAGCTTTCAGGCAGCACCAAAGGCTTTAGTATCCAGAATGTATGAAGAGCTCTTATAACTCAGCAGTCAAAAGACAACACCATTAATACCAGAAAAGAATGTAGAGACACATTTCTCAAAAAAAATCACAAATGACCGATAAACATATGAAAAGATATTGCAAATTCAAACCATGGTGGATTATCTCTTCCCAGCCACTTAAACAGCTTTTATTAAAAAGATAACAAATGATATTGATGAGGATGAGAAATAGAGCCCTCAAAGCTTTCTGTTGGGGAATGTGAAATGGTGCTACCGCTGCGGAAAATGTTTTCTCAAAATGTTAAGTATAGAGTTATCATATGACCCAGCAATTCTCCTAAGTATGTACCAAGAAAACACACATCTCATTATATGAGAATGTGCATAATATTATTATGCGTAATAGCCAAAAGGTGGGAACAACCCAGGCCCACTAATAATTGATGGGTAAACAAAATCTAATCATGCAATCGAATATTATTTAACTATAAAAGGGAATGATGTTAAAAAAAGCAATGATATGCTGATACATGCTATAAAATGAATGGAAATAAAACAGTGTACTAAATGAAAGAAATTAGTTACAAAGGATTACATATTATATGATTCTATCTGTATAAAATACCAAGAACAGGCTTATCCTATTCAGACAGAAAGCAAATTAGTAATTCCCAGGGGAGGAGGAAATTGGGAGGCACTGCGGCTCTTGCGGGAGGGTAATGGAAATGTTCTAGAACTAGAAAGAAGATAGTTGCACTTGTGATGGTGAAAGTAGTAATTTTGTTTAAAAAATATATTTTTTAAAATCACTGAATACAATAAAGTGTGAATTTTGTGGTGAATGATCTAGATCTCATTTTTTTAAAAAAAGTAGATCTCTATTTTCTTACATACTCCTTGCTCAGAAAGCTGCCTTACCTTTCTGGTGAATAATAAAATATCAAAACAGTATCTAACAGCTACATTTTAAAAATTACAACAAGGACCTGATTGTTTTTGTAGAAACTCTGGTTTCCAAAGTTGACAAAAGTGGTATATCTATAATAATCAACCTATGTCCTATTTATTAATTCAAAATATTGTGAATATTCATAACAGTAAAGTGTTATTTTTTGTTTCATTATACAACCCTAAATTTGAGCTCAAATGTCTTTTTAGAAATGTTTAAATAAGATTTTTTTGTTAGTTTTTCACTTGAGTAACTTTGCATTTTATTTCAAAAAACCTTCTATGGGAAGTGTTTAAAGATTTTAAAAATGAGACCTTCTTGAATGTATTACTTCCCATTAGCTAGTTTAGTTTTAGAATGAAATGTATATTATTATAATAAGATAAATACTAATCAAATTTAAATAAAATGAAAGGATATTTTCAGGATCTGGGACATAAAATGTCCCAAACTTATAGAAAATACTTCATTGGAAAGTGTCTGTTTTACTGCAAATTAAATTATTCTTATTAATATTTTTCTTCAAACAAGTTATTTATATATATATATTACATACACACACATATATTCTGCTTTTAAAATATTTTTGTTAAAAAAATCTTTTGTTACGAGAAGGTAATTTTTCAATAAATACACTTAAGAATTTCTAAGATACCAAAGTCATTCTTCTCAAACAGTCCCTCCTCCCCATTTTACTCCTTGAAACTAAACACAATTCAGTTATTTGATTAGTTGGTGCTAGAATTTGACCTGGAGCTTACATAATTAAAAGAGATGTTAGTTTTCCTCATTTAAAGGCCTGGTTAGCATATGACAGTCTCATTTCAGGGGCAGTCAAATCTGCCACCTCTCTCCTGCTTCTTTTACCTTTAAGTTAACTCACAGCCTAGATAAGCCTTGAATCGAGCATGATTTAACCACAGAAAGCAAAATGGGGTAAGTGTGTGCTTTTATGATTTTTGAAAGATATTATAGGGGGAAATATTTTTATATGAAAAGAGAATTAAATACTTGCTATGTATGATTACATATATGAATTTAGGTTCATTTTCTAATATTTTAGGTGGTCATTTCAAGAAACAACTTTTTAATCAGAAGTTAAAACTATTTGTAAAATACTAATTTTTTTTTAACTTAATTTTTGTATTATGCCTTACTCTGTCTTTGCAGGGTGTCAGCTCATGAAATGTTTAGGAGACAGAAGAGTTTTGCATATTTATATATTTAGTTGAAGCTGAATTAGATTTTGAAAGCAGTCTGAAAAGTCTTAAAGAAAGCATGATAGGATGTTGATTTACACAGAGGTATAAAACCAACATGTACATGTCTCTTTGGGATTACATATAATTAAAGACTGAAAAAGATTAGAAATGAAGAGGAGTTTACTTAAGCCTTTTGTAAAGAAGGACAAGAAAGGCGATTCTGAGAGTACACTCCTGTGTGCCCAAACGCTGCATGCTGATTGAAAATGTATATTAATTTATTCTCAGACAGGGTCATATATTACTGGAATATAATTTCAAGCACTTTATGGTGTTTGGATAGCCTGAGGAGAAATAGGTTTCCCTGAAAATCTAAGGAGAAATAGGTCTCACTGAAAATCATTCTAGTGTTTTCTTAAGTGAGAGTAGGGTTCCATTATAATTAGTACTAGAATTATATGAGCTGAAACAATATATATGCTGAAACAATAATAAATGTACTAGGAACATAGAGAATATGTTTTGTTTTCACTCACATAGCTCCTTTGAAATACAAATTTATAATACTGGCAAGTAGAATAAATCTTTCATTGAAAGCTATTTCTGAAAGACTCAGTATGATCAGAAATTTATATTAAGAGAATTACCTTTTGACATGTGGTTTTTCTGACACTTTTCATCACTCTGGAAAAGGCAATTTAAGCTAATTTGAAATCACAGAGACTTTTGAAAGACGATTACACTAGAGATGACTTCATTTTGATATAGACTGTTAAAAGAAAAAACTAACAAATGCCTTGTACAAATGTCACACACATTTGGTTGATGAGATTGCTGGAGGCTCCTTACCCTTTCCTCTCTTTTCCTCTTTCTTCTGTACATAGGAGGGGATGTCACCACAGCAGGCCACAGGTAAACTCTTAAGCAAGGGGCATACAAAGAATTCTTTTCTTGCTTTTCTTTCTTTTTTTTTTTTAGGGCAGCTGTTCTTAACATTTTTTTGGGTCAAGGATCCCTTTGAGAATCTTAAGAAATCAGTTCACCCTCTTGGCAAAAAGAAAAAAAAAGTAAAATTGCACAAAATTTTACATATAGTTGTAGAAGATTTACAGGTACCCCAAAGCCAAATCCATGGACACAGTTATGCTTTTTGCTTTTCAGTTTTAGGACTGGTATATTCAATTGTTTGATTTTTTTAAAAAATTCCTGGAATTTTAATAAAATCATGCTATGCTTCTACAAGATGAATATTGTCTTCCATTCATTCCCACCCCAACACACACACACACACACACACACACACACACACACACACGTGAATGAGATGCAGTTTGGCCAATATCTTTGATTTTGACAAGCAAATTGTGATTGGTCTCCAGC